CAATGGTCATTTGTTATTTTGGCAAATCTCAATCAACTTTTCCTCCAAATTTGTAAGTGTTTTTTGGATATAGATTTTTTTGTGATTTTATTTATTTTTTATTTTGTCTTTTGTGACTTTTTTTTAACTGTTTGTAAAAAAAACATTATATATTTATATTATTCCTGACTAGACATATAAAAAATGAAAAAAAATTGAAAAATTGGAAGAATATATATATATATATATATAATTCACCCCACCATTCATATATCACTACAAAATTAAAATAAAATAAAAATATTAACTACATTCATTTATAGCCATTGAGACAATAGTGTTCTGTTTAAAAAATAAAAAAATAGAAAAAGGAGCCGTTGTGAGAAAATTCAAAATTCCAAGATTTTTTCCATCATTGGATGATTTCATAATCCAACAGCTGAAATTGAGCTGAAATTGATCATCTGGAATCTTCGGATCCAGATTGATCACCTTTACTCTCTTTCTCTCCATCTCCATTTTGATCAACCACCCATCAAAACCAGTATCTCTCTCTCTCTCCATCCGACTCTCCCTCTCTCTTTCTCCATCCGACTCTCCAACGGTGCAAACTAATTGACTCATTTTCTCTCTCATACTCGCCGATTCCCTCTTCATCCCTCATCACCGACCCCTTTCTCTCACTCACTCACCGATTCTCTTTCTTCCCCTGTTTCCACTCCAAAGTCGTCTCTCTCTCTCTCTCTCCTTCCCTAGAACCACCACTAGATCATGCCCCTATCCCAATCCCTCGATGTCTAGACAAAGTTTTTCACATCCTGAACAAAGGATTTGATTCTGAAACCCTTCCTGAACGCATTTCTCTGTAAAACCGATTCTTTCACACACTACATCCATGGCAGGACGATATTGAGGGCTTGAGAAGAGTGGGATTTTGTGGGTCTCTGCCCATTCCTTTAGCACGAACTTGGGAGTTTTGATAGATGCTGACCAATTCACAGTAGAACCACCACCCACCATTGATCTAGCTAGGATCATCATTTTCCCATCAAGGGTTGCTAGGATCCAGTTAAATTTGTTTCAGATTTGTTATTCACTAAAATTTGTTATGAGATTTGTGAAAATTGGGTTTACTATCATTTTGTTTTTTAATTTTTTATGAGATTTGTGAAAATTTTGAAAATTTGTTATAAGATTTGTGATTCTGTTTTGTGATTCTGCATACAGTTATAAGATTTATTTTTTTTTTATTTTTTTATTTTTTAAATTTGTGAATTTGTGGATTTGGGGTGAAGAACAAAAACAGATGAATTTGTGAATTTGGAGCCAAAATTCTGTTAATCTTTGATGATGTGGCATATGTTTGGCAAATGCCAAAACTCCTGCGAAATTTGATAGCAAAAATAGCATCTGTTATATTTGGCAGGAGGAATAGCATGCCATTTGAGACTCCATTTTTTTCATTCTTGTCAAATGATAGCTTTGGCAGCTCCATTGGAGATACTCTGAGCTAATAGATTGCAATAAATCTGTTAAAAAAAAAACAGTAACAATATTAATATAAAAAAATCTGGGAGGTAAAGAATGTGTAATTTTAACAAATATTAATAAAAAAAAAAATTTGGAGTAGAAAATTTTAGGAAAAAAAATAAGTATGAGTTTATAAATTATTTTTATATTAAAAAAAATCTAGAATATAACTAGAATATCTAGTTTATTGGAAAAAAAAATAAAAATTTGTCATATCTACTAGAAATTTATAAATATTTTAGAATGTCTAGAATTTTTTTTATTATTTATAATTAAAATAGAATTTCGCTAGAGAATGAGACGGTTTGGGACAAAAACAGGTATGGATCTAGAATGAGAGGGAGTGTGGAGTAAGTTTTTAAATAATTTTTTTTTTGACTTTTTAAATTCAAATAATTTACATATACTTCGAAGGGAAAATATTTTTTAATTTTCTAAAAGAATCACTAAATTCAAAAAAATATAAAAATTAATATTTCATAACATATTTTTGTATGTCATGAAAATATACATTTTTTACGGCATACTTTTGCATGCCATAAAAAAATCAGACTGCATTTTTATTTTATTTTTTTGGTACAAGTTTTCATGACATTCATTAGCATGTCGTGCAAAGTTATAATATTTTACAACATGAAATGTATCTCATCTGAAGTACAAATATTTTAGGACATATTTTTGTAAGTCATAAAAACATAAATTTTTTACGACATGCTTTTGCATGTCATAAATATATGAATTAATGACTTACATAGTATGTATGTTGTTATTGACAAAACACTAACGGCTTGCAAAAAAAAATGTTGTAGAATGTACTAACTACGACATGCATTTAATGCATGCCGTAAACATGATGCCGTAAATAGTTAGTTTTGTTGTAGTGATATCTTTGTCTTTTTTTCCCAAGAAACAAACAATGGATCAGAAAGTTCTTCAATTAGAAACCCAAAACGATCACAAACCCAACCACTCTCTCGTATGGGATTGTGGAAGCTCACTCTGACTCCTTTGAGTTTGAATCGTTCGAACGCCAACTTCACTCCACCATTTCTTCTAGAACCCTCTCCATACCTCGCTTATCCGATCACCACCACCCGCCACCACTTCCGCCGCTGCAACAACCACCACAAACCATCTCAAAAAAATCCTCAAAATTTTCACGGGCGTTTCACGAACTTCTTCGATCCATTTTCGGTCCCAAACAAGCGAAAGCAGGATCTCAAGACCCATTTTTTGCTATTTTTGACGGGCCGGCCCCGGGCTTTCAACCATTCCAGAAATGCCGAAGAGTGGCAGTGGCGGCCGGATTTCGTTGGAGTTTAAGTCGATGGCAGCGGTAGTGGTGATAAGAAAGTCAGCCTCTTGGCGGTTCACCGCCACCATTTCTATGGTATTTCATGCACTTGGGTTCATATAGTGTGTTTCCAAATGTGGCCCGACCCGTCGAAAAAATGGGTCTTGCGATCCTGCTTACGATTGTTTGGGGCTGAAAATGGAGCAAAGAAGTTTGTGAAACGACCGAAAAAATTTTAAGGATTTTTTGGAGATATGGATTGTGGTGGTTGTTGCGGCGGCGGAAGTGGTGGCGGGTGGTGGTGATCGGATAAGCCAGGCAAGGAGAGGGTTCTAGAAGAAATGGCGGGATGAAGTTGGCGTTCGAAGGATTTGAACTCGAAAGAGTTGTAGAGTGAGCTTCCACAATCCCATATGAAAGAGTTGTTGTCACAATTCCATGTTTTGAGATGGTTCATATATTATATGCTAGTAGCTAAGTCTTTAGTTGCATTTTGGTGTATGTATTGCATTAGTTTCTTTGCACCTAGGATCATGCATGTTTTTTCCCTTTATGCTTGGCTTGGTGCGGATGAGTTCTTTTATCTTTGCATCTCGATTGTGCTTGTTTGTCTTATTATGTTTGTCATTCTACCATGTGGCTAATTGCTTACTTGAGATATCTATTTGATTGCCGGTGGGTGGAGGTTATTTCACTTAAGTTGGAATCTTGATTTCTATGCATGTGAATTCATCTTTTCCTTTGAGTTGCACATTTTCAAACTTTTTTCTAAAAACGCTGAGATCAAAGTATTCTAAAATAAGTGATTTAGTGTATATTTATTTGTTTCACATGGTAATTTTAGCATAGCTAATCGGAACTAATCATATATTGGTAATGAATTTCATATTGTGAATTAGTAGTGGCCGATTTTTCATCGGGTGAGCGGGGGTGGTCAATTCATAACCTTCCCTCCTCATACCTTAGTTCTTGAACCGAGACACTTTGGTTATGATGGATAGTGACTTTTGGCATGAGTCATGAGTTTCCTAGTTTTCCGAAAAGATTAGATGGCAATTCTGAGTCTAGTGATGTAGTCCATTTTTGGCATTTCTTGTGACTAGCGGGTTTTATGGATTTGCTAGATTTGGACTCTCATTTTGTTTCACATTGCACACTTGTGAAACCAGATCAGGGGTTTGACTAGATGCTCTGAAAGTACCCCTTCCTAGAGGAGATCCCACAACCCAGAAGTTGATTTGGCTTCCATCCCCTACTACAATTGCAGCCTTGGAAGTAAAAAAAAAAATCGAACAGATTAGTGTGGCTAAAGCAATAGAAAGAATATCCTGCCATACTCTTGAGAGTGTATTGTTGATTTCAAAATAGGGTAACGATCTTCCCCCAACAGTCCATATTTTAAACATAGGAGTTTCTTCCATCAACCCCAAATCTCCATCACCATTTTGCTAGAAGGCAAAAATTCACCTCCCTAGCTCTCCTAATGCCCAACCCACCTTGGTTTTTACTTCTAGTGACTTCCCCGCATTTAACCATATTGACTTTTCACTTCAAGTCAGATCCTTCCCATAAGAAAGCTGATTGAATTTTGTCTAATTCATTAGCAACACATTCAGGAATCTTGAAAATGGATAGACAATAAATACGTAAACTTGACAAAACCAATTTAATGAGAACCAATCCACGTGTGAAGGACAGAAATCTCCTTTTCCATGTCGAGAGCTAATCAATAACAGTTTGATATTAATTGCTTTTATGTAGGGGCATGATGAAGAATGTAATGCATTTTCATCGCAAGGGAATAGCTCACTGTAATCTAAAAAGAGCTCACTGTAATCTAAAAAGTTATGCTATTATCTTGGATGAAAAATATGACGTGACATTGACGGGAAATCAATAGCCATCATCAGAAAGATATGAGAAAGGATGGTGCAGATTTAAAGACTACACTTGAAATTCTAATAGGCAATGAAATCTCCAAAGATGTTGCTCATCTCTTGGAATTACTTGGTAACTACCAAAGGTATTTTTATTTACATCAACTTTTGAAAATATTTAGAAGTTAAAAGCATTTTTGAATTTGTTACTAATTATTAGTTTTATTATTTTTATTTTTAGTTACAATCAGGACATCATGTTTCACCATTCATGCCTCTGGACACCATTCGAAATGATGAAGAATATTTTCCTATTTCGGATGGAGATTGGCTGTTCTCCAAAAGTTGTCGTTGTCCCCGTTTGGAATGCTCTCAGAAACTTACCTGAAGAGAATGTTGATTGGGCTTCTTTAGTATGCATGCATCCATTATACAAGAGAGCATAGTTGTCAAATCGGGATTCGTATCGTGAATCGAAATGGCCTCGTACCGAATCGCAAATCGAATCGAATCGTGAATCGTAAAGATTCGGTCACTTTTTCTAAATTACTTAAAAACATATATCTACACATTTAGATGTTAAATATATCTTATGAATATAAAATGTTTAAACTTAAATCAATAAAAATGTTATTTTGAATGATAATCACGTAATTTAATAGGTAAGAAGTTAACAAAGGTTCCTATATAAAATTGCCATCTTACTTTTTTTTTTTTTAAATATTTTTTATCAACCATTCTTAATAAAGATAATAACCAAATAGACAAACTATTAATTTCTAAAGTAACAATAGTTAACAATGATATTGATATTTGGACAATAAGCATATATACTTTTCTAAGTAAGAGTGAGCAAATAATAAGAAAGAATTATTTAGGATATTTTATTTTAAAGCCTAAAAATATTTTAAAAGGTATAATTAACCTCACACATGTAATATTCAATTTAATAAAATAGTAATAGATAATTCATAGTGTAACTTTAATCTTAAACATCTTTAGAAGATATATTACAATTTTTTAAAGGGGAAAAAATGAGAAGAAATATTAAAAATATGTTAGGTCTGACTGAATCTGATTGGATCCTATAAAAAAACCCCATAATCACTAAAATAATAACAAATCATATATATATGTTGGTTATTTTGGTATTAAATGCTATTAGAAGCTGTATTATGTCATTTTCACTAAAAAGATGAAAAAAATGAGTCGAAAATATGTCGAATACAATAATTTCAAAAATTGCATGAATCGTAAAAAGTGAATCAAATCGTGAATCGATTGTGAATCGTACGATTCAGTAGAGATTCACTTCCAAAATAGATTCACTCATAGATTCGTATCGATTTTGCAAAAATTGCGTATCGAATCGCGAATCGAATCGCGAATCGTAAGATTCTGATAACAGAGCAAGAGAGCTTTTGACAAATGGCAACTCGTGGGTGTTCATAGTGGTGGAGTAATCTTATCTTTTATGAGGATGTGCTTCATTCATGTGCTGCCTGTGGTATGTTTTCGTTTATACTGAGTGGTTCATATATTTGAAGCATTTAAGGAAAATGACAAAATTCAATTTACTTCTTTTGGTTTGAGGTTGAAGTATTTTTACCTTATGTGATTTTATTATTATTATTACTATTACTATTTTGGGATGGCGTAGAAAATAAATTTGGCGTCCCAAAAGGAGAAAGAGAAGGAAGAGGTTAGACCATTGAGACAGATGGAGAATGATTTATTTGTACTGTTTCCACTATACATGCCACATTTCCTGGAGCACAGCAAGTTTTCTGCACTTGTAAAAGGTAACTTTATGGTCTTGGTCTATAGAGTTATGGATGTATTTTATAATTTTTCTGAAACAACTATTTGATTTGCAGGAATTTACAGAAGCGATTTCTGAATGCATTGAAGCAGGTCACTTCAAATTTGATAATACTACATTGCCGTTTATTTTTTTATCTTTCATTTTAAGTGGTGATCAGTTGGATATTTTCTCAGCTCTATAAGACTTCTTTGGATTTGTGGTAAAGAGATCCTGTTGCTTCCTCTTTAATTATTTTAAAAGCTGACATTGATCGGAAAATATCTATTTACTATATATCTGATCTTCTTTTGATAAATCTATCTACTATATAATATGTTGGTCTATTTTAACAGTGTTTTTACTGTTCGTCAATTCCTATTGTCTCTTATTATTTTTATTTTTATTTTTATTTTTTTCCTCTAGAAAATGCCTTATTATTTTTTAGCTTTCAACACATTTGAGTGAGGATCTTGAGGTAGTTTCTCATGTAATTATTTCCTTGCCCTTTAATTTTGTGTAGGTTGATCAGGGTTCTCCTTATTTATCAGTTTTGGATGTTCGTTCGTAATTTCCCTTCGTAATTTCTATACTTCTGTTTGGCTAGATGGCATTAGGCCATCATTACATTTCATTTCCTCTATTAAGACAAAGAAGCCTTTTCCTTGCCATATGACTATTTGTATTGAAAAATTCATTGAAAAAAATTACACTAGCTTAACATGGCAATATTAATCACAGCGTGGTTGGTCTAGTGGGTGATGATTGGGGTCTGAAGATTTGCTCCTCCGGTCTGAGGTTCGAATTCCCTAACCAGCAAACGCATAACTTGGGGCCATGGATTGCAGGGCGTAAGCCTTGTTTTGGAAGGCTTGTTTGGGCTGTAGGGATTTAGTCTGGTGCGTGTAAGTTAGCCCAAGATACCTTACATAATCCCCGCCCAAAAAAATTGTATGGAGCCTTATCCATTATATATATAAATTTTGTATGATTTTTTTGGGTGCTTTTTTAGTAAATTCCATCTTAAGACTTATGTTTCATCGAAGTCATTCTTTTTGATCCATTAGGTCCTATTTGGTATAATATGATCAAATTACCTTTCTGACTTTATGTGCTTGTTTTTATTTTAAAATTAATGTATGATAAAATAATAGTTCTTTATTTCATGGAGAAAATTTCTCCCTTATTTAATGAAAAATATCTCATTCGTGGGAGAATTTCTTCATTCTAGTAGAAAATCTCTCCATCATTTGAGGGGAAAAAATCTTTCTTATTCTATAATTTTTTTTCCCCACACACATTGTCAAAATCTTAAATCGTGTACCTTTTGATTTTGAAATTTTTTCACTACATGTTCATGTGAACTTTTACATTACAAATGTATGCTGATAAATAATCTTTCTTCATGGAACTATACACACACTATGTTACATGAGTGTGTGGACATTTATAGTGCGACTGCCTATTTGTGTTAATTATTAGTAGGTTTTAATAGTTGGACTTAATTTTTATCAAGTCCTATTGAAAACAAGTCTTGGTAAAATTGTCACTAAAAATAAATTTTTTGACAATTTTTTTATATATGTTGCAAAAAATTAGTAGTTAGTGATTTTTTTTTGTCATAAAACTTACAATTAGTGATTTTTTTTTATCATGATTTTTATAAATTGTCGCTAAAATTTACAATTAGTGATTTTTTTTATGACAAATTTTTCCTATAGAACCTATTAGACAATGAGTTCAGTTATTAGGATCTACACGTAAGTATCTCGAGAATTGATGTGAACATTTACATTTTTATGTATACATTATGTGACCAAAATGATAGTATGACTATTAATATATAATTACCTTTCGAACCATAGTATAATGTGAATGTTCATAATAAACAATAAACATATGACTAATCTTCAAAAAATAAAACTCATATCAAAATACAATGTGAATATTCACAGTTTACAATCAATATATAACTACCCTTAAAAAAACTATACTCATGCCAATGTGAACAATAAAACTATAACATGAAAACACAAAACAAAAGTGAAAAAGGTAAAAATCAACTATTACGATTATTCAATGGCAATAAAAATGATTGTTTAACCAATAAAGTATTGTAACAAAAATAACAAGCAAATAAAAACCAACAAGTATCGCAACAAAAATAACAAGCAAAAATCAACCATTTCGATTGTTCAATGGTAACAAGGAATACCTACTGTTTTGATGAAAGCACAAGAATAAGCAAATAAACTTTGTTTTCTTACTTGCAAGCCTCCCTTAAGCTTGAGTTCTAAGTTAGGGTTGATGTTTTTCAATCTTTAGAGTATTTTCATAAGCATAAAGTTGCTTTAGGGTGTGAGAATTTCGAAGCTAAATAAAAGAGAGGGAGAAAGATAGGGTTTGGCACTCCAAAGCTCTTAAAAATGTTTCAATTTCTTGACCCCTTCAAAGAGAGGGGAAGGGGCTCTATTTATAGAGTTGGGGGAAGCTTCTAGAACCCTTCTAGGGTTTCATCGCTTCCTCTTCTGCCGTTTCCACAAAAAATGCACCAAAATTGAGTTTCTAAAAATAATTCTGTGATGCCTCAATGTGCGCACGTACAAATTTGGTGTGCACGCTCAACGAAGGTGAACACGTACACACTGTGTGCACTTACATCTAACATGCGCACACGTGTTTTGCCTAAGTAAGCCCGAATTGGATTTTAATCAACGTTTTTTTATGAAATGGGTCACAATTTTTGGAAAATACGATCAATCAAAGCACAATCAACTTTTTTGGGTTAAAGAAGTTGGTTTTTCGACTAAAAAGGGATCCAGGGGTAAAATGGTTATTTTTGCAGAAAGTTTATTTTTGGTTAAAATGGGTTTATACAGCAACTCTATGAAAATATTGTTGAAATATTGGAGAAAATTATATAAAGATCCAGATTTAGGTATTGATGAAAGAAATAGGCTACTAGATCAGATAAGAGAAATTTATTTAGAACACGAAACCCTTTTACAGCACTTTAATTATGATATTAATATGTCAACTAATGATGATGATAGTCAATCATCCTCATCTGAAGAAACATTAAATCAAGATATTTCACCAGAAATAAATAAAGGGAAAGAAAGGCAGAAGAGCCAATTGATCCTGAATTATTTGGCACATGGGGAGATGGAGAAAATTTTGACTTTATTCAGACAAATAAAGTTAAAAATGATACGAACACTGGAAGTATCTCCAATCCTACACTTGAGCCAGTAATATCTAGAAAAGATAATAATAATAAGTATCCGATAGCTCAAAATGGTACTTATTTAGACTTGTCTCATGTCCCATTTAAGGATCAGGAACAAGCAATTGATGATTGGGCACATTCCTTATCCATCATTATTACCAATTATAAAAATAGTTGGTCAAAAGAAAAATTCCTTGATTATATTGCAGCAACTCTCCAAGGAGATGTGTTGCAATGGTTAAGACATTGGGAAAAATCTGAAATTAGAAAAAATCAAAAAACGGCTTTATTGACAAATTTTCTCACATTTGTCACAATTTTAGTTGAGTTTGCAAAAATCATAAAAGAAAATTAATGTGGTTTTGCAGGAGATACTAATTTGCAAGCAGATGCAAATTATATTTTGACTAAATTAGAACTATGTAATATTTGTCTTTTTGAAGACTATGTTCAAATTTTTAAAAAATATTATTATCTTATTGATCCACCAGCAAATCAACCCTAGTTAGATCAATTTTTCCATAAGCTCCCTAACCCATGGGATGAGTTATGTATTAAAACATATCCTGATTTTCTCAAAAAAATGGGGAAGGAAGAATATGATAATCTTGGTTTTCGCATTAATTATGTTCTAAAGATTGATAGTAGATCGGTGTCTAGAAGCAAAAGCAAAAAAATAAATAAAAAATCAAATTTCCAACTCACAATATGGTAAAAAATGTTGTGATAAAATTTTGAAAGAAAATTGGTTGTAATACATTTCCTAAACGAAAATGATTTTCCAAAAAACGCAGAAAATATAAATGGAAACCTTGGAAAAAGAACAAAACTTTTTCAAAAAAGAAAAAGTATATTGGAAAAAGGAAACCAACAAGTGTTTTAAAAAAAAAACTTGTAAATTTGTAACGAAGAAGGTCACTATGCACCCGAATGCCCAAAAAGGGAAAAAAGTATAAAGAAAATGATCAAAATTATTGAAGAACAGGATTTTGAAATAATATATGGCGAAGAAATTTTTGATGAAGAAGAAATCTTATATGAAATTTCTGGTGATGAAGAAAGTTTCGATGAAGAACTAATCTTCATATTAGTCATGAAATATCTCAAGAAGCAGATAATATATCTCAAGAAGAATTACAGGCAATTCGACTTGGAGATGTAATTGGAGAAGAAAAAACTTTTACCAATGAAGAATTAGCAAAATTCAAAAAAATGCAAGAAGTTGCTGTTCCAGAAATTTATAAACTTTCAAAATTCAACTTCTTTTCAGCAAGAGTGTTTGAACAATATAATGGTAACACTCAAGCAAAATGGTCAATAGAAGGAAATATTGATATTCCTTTTTTTGATAAGAAAAATGTTGCAAGATGGAAAAAGAAATATCCTGAAATTCAGTATATTCATATTGGAGTAATTCAAGTAACCATAACAGCCTTATTTCGCCAAGGGATAGATACTCCTATTCTAGCAGTAATTTTTGATAAAAGATTTTCCGACCCAATGAAAGAAATCACTGGAGGAATTCAATCTAATTTGGCTAATGGAGTAGTTTGGTTTAATGTTAGACCAAATTTCTTTATTTCCATAAAAGATCCTAATCTTGAAGACACAGTTAGAATAAGAATTAAAACACAAGGATTAGGAATGAAATCAATTCCCATGATTTGGCTATTCGTTGGAAAACAATTCATGAATTAGCCAAATTTCATGAAACAAAAACAAGATCAAACGATAATAAAATTGTTGAAATCTTTGAACCAAGACCATTTGACATGGTAATACAACATCGTCTAATGAATTGGAGCGACTTAGAAGTCCCTCGACAATGGTTAATCGATGACCTAGTAGGACAAGGAGAATCCTCTAAAACAAAAAATCCTGCACAATTACAAATGAAGGCATCAGGAAAAAATTTATATATTGAAAATACAGTTCCAAAAATTAAAAGATCAACTTCGGTATTTGAAAAAGATTTTCCTAACAAATCATTTCCAAAATTAAGCATTGGAGAATCAAGTAATAATTCTAATCAATAATCTATTACTTCAAACAATGTTCAGATTCCTATTTTTCCAAGAACAAGAAAAACAAATTGAACATATTAAGTCTGCATATATGTATCATTT